TGCTACTTCTATGTTCTATAGGAGTGCGAATGGAATACACTCCATAATCCACTGCCGCATGCATAATTTTAAAAAATTTATAATCAAATAAGGGATTTTGGCACTTTTGACCCTGGATGGAGTGCCGAATGGAACCCGAAAAGGGACACGAAGGCCATAAAATAATTATTTATCAATAATGAAATTGAAGGTGTTATTAATGATTAATTAATTATTTAGATGCGTAATAAATGCGAAGTCTCTCATCCAGGGACGCTCGGTAGCAGTCTCTCGATAGCCTTGAACCGGCTTTTTCAGAAAGTCTCTCAGAAGTATGGCCAATGACGCTGAGCCATACTCTCTCAAAAACGCAGACGACAATATTGCAAACCCCAAAGTACTCAAATTTGTTATCCTAGGATATTAAATCAAATTTGTCACTCAGTCCGTGAGGCATTGCCTAATCGCTCACAGACTAATGACGAAAAGTATCGTTCAATTCACGGGCGTGAAGAACTTTTCTGCCTCATATGGTTACTTCACTTGTCTTCGGCTCGCCCGGCATCTCATATTTTTTATAAAAGTTCCTCACTGCCTAGTGTTGAAACATACTATTTCACGACTAGGAGCGAGGGTTTAATATTATCTGGCAAAGGAGTAGTACGATGGTAATGACTTGTATTTTTATGGCTTACCTTTCTCAATGAAAATATCCAACGCCATTCGCATTAATATTGACAAAACCATCAATCAACTTTGTAAACATCACTCACACCGTCTCATCATCCAGTTCTTTGCACGAAACTCCCTTTTAATCGATCCAACATGGTTCAACCGCCATGGAATTTAAATGTAGGATTTGATTGAATTTTTTTATGTGCCTCAAATTAAACGATTTATGAGTCATATTCACGTGACAATGTTATTTATATAGTCAGTTTGAATGAACATGAGTAATTTTCAAATCAGCTTGCACTTTGTCATAGAAACTAGAACATAAACACTGAATTTATTGAAAGGGACATATTACGGAGCTGGCATTTCGAGGGATTTCTGGATGATGTCATGGGATGAGCTGTATGCTGATCAGCAAATTGGTGTTTGTGATGTATGGGCGAACCTTCATGACAGATTACATTGAAGATCCGCCATAATGATTATGGATGTGACGTAGGTATCATTTCCCCTCCCCATCCTCCTTCCATTGTAACCCATTGAACGAGACACATGTCGTATTTATTCTATCAATAATAAATCTACGAACATCGTTATTGATTATTAATATTTACTTGTTTATTTCATTATATTTGAAAACCCCAGATATAACAATTGGCGACGAGGTAAATAGTTTTGGTGTTGAAGGCGTAGTATTTAAATAAGAAGAGAAAGAAGAATTTGTCGTTTCTGAGAGGTTAAGCCTATGCACAATGGCAAAAGAAATAGAGCAGTTAAAAGCAGAGGCAAATAGAGAAGTACTAGCTCGAGATGAAAAGATCCGAGAATTAGAACTATTAATTACGAACGCTGAACAACGGACAGCGGTACAGGCCGCTAATGGAGGTGAACAGGTTATCATGGTCCCAACTACATGTATTGGAACACTTCAGGAGTTGATTGAGGACGAAGATTTTGATTTTTGGTATGAAAGATTTGAACAATATTTGATATCGAATAATGTTGAGGAGGCTAGAAAGGTAAGCCTTTTTCTAACATTATTGGGAAAGTGGGGTTATAAGTTATTAAGGGGTCTCTGTCACCCTAGTTTGCCAGCATCTTTACCACTTGCAATGTTAAGATCAACGTTAACGCAAAACCTTAAGCCTAAACCAAATGTTTTAACTGAACGATACAAATTTAAGGATTGTCGTCAAAAACCTGGAGAATCTGTCAACCAATTTGATGCTAATTTGAAGCAGTGCACAACTCATTGTGAATTTGGAGCAGGTCTGTTGAGTAATATGAGGGACCAATTTGTCTGGGGTTTAAAAGACGATTCGATAAAGAGGAAGCTTCTAGCCATGAAGAATAGAGACTAGGAGGCCGAAGTATCATGGCCGATTCCTCAGAATATGCGACCAAACGTGGTTCCTTGAACTAATTACCTCGTTGTGAATGGGGGCGGTTCATCAGTGGTACTCGGGCTCATATACATACTCCGTTCAATTGTATTAGTAGGAGACTATATCCCTGGATTCGATTTGTTATCAAATGTTATTTAAAAATTCCAAACCTAAGATTATATTATCATAGTAATGTTATAATATAATCATTTAAACAAATTAATTACCAGCATTTTCTGCTTAAAAATATTCCTTTATTACACACATTGCAGGTTTCAAATTATACAATTTTGCAAACAAAGTGATTTATAAAAATCTCTATTTATTTAGTAATTCTATGACCGTAGCCAGGTGATTGAGAGATTTTATTCTATCACATATTAACCAGGATATGACTTCGCTGTTATATAAAATTGTTGCATTGAGAGAATCATCTATGAAAATTTTCTTTCTTTCTTCCCCATTTTCCAAGATTTCCAAAAATAATACATACTCGTCATATTTGACTGCTGCCCAATTGGGGGTCTCTTGACCATTTTCATATTATTATGTAAATCAACAAAACTAAATGGCACACTCTATAGTTACGTCCGCCATTGTTCGCGAAAGTACAAAATTCGTATACACAATTAATTCTTAAATGTTACACACAATTAATTTTTTAATTTAATATACACAAGCCTGTACACCTACATACTCACACAGACAGCATTCCCCCACTACTGCCATTCAGTAAACCGACCGAAGCGCCACCAATAACTACCTCATGACCCCGACTATGGTCTTGCTTCGGAAAACGTTAGTTCGGCCTCCTGGTCTCTATTCTTCATGCTTCTAGCAGAGAAGGACATCACCTATGAAAGGGCAATCCAAATTGCCAGTGCAATGGAAGCAGCTAGACGAGACATGGGTGAGATAAATAAGAATAATTCGGTAAATTTCATAAAAGACAATCGACATGATAGTGGTCATAATTTTCAAAGGACAGAATCTAGAGGGAGGATCATCTGTTATTGTTGTGAAAGAAGTGGTCATGCAACCAATGTTTGTTATTATCGTAAACTGTCATGTAATTATTGTAAGAGAGAAGGTCATTTGAGAGTAATGTGTAAAAGTAATCCAGAAAATAAGGATAAATTTAAAGAAAGTAATCAGAATGGAAATTTTAATAACAATAATTTTGGAAAAGATAAAAATGTTCGTTCACAGACCAGTAAAGAGAATCATTATGGTAAAAGAAATGAGAAACAAAATTATCTTGATGAAATTGAAGTTGATGTTGTTGAAGATATGATTGAGAATATGTTTTCGGTAAATGATCATCAGGAAATATGTGAACAGAAAATTGAGAAAATCTGTCGAATCGATCCAAAGTATTTAAATATTTCGGTAAATGATGCTAAAACTACATTTGAAATCGATTCAGGTTCGCCAATTACAGCAATCAGTGAGAAAGATTTTAGAATCAACAAAACATTCTCTATCTTAAAGTTGTGTCCCACTGAAAGGAAATTCAAAGCTTATCATGGGGATATTATCGTACCTTTGGGGGTTTTAGAAGTTAAAGTTTGTTATGAAAATACTTGTGAGCAACTCGAGTTATTTGTTTAGCCTGGAACAAGTAATCCAATTGTGGGTAGAGAGTGGTTAAAGGCTTTAGGATTTTCACTCAGTTTGATAAGAAATGAAGACGTTAATAATATTGATAATATGGACGATATTTTGGGTGAATTTCCTATGGTTTTGTCAGGGAAAATGGGTTGCTGTACAATGGGGAAATTAAATTTGATGTTGAAAAATGATGCCAAACCAGTATTTCACAAACCTCGACCTTTGCCATATGCTTTAAAAAATAAAGTTAATGAAGAGTTAGATCGCTTAGTCAGAGATGATATTATTTATCCAGTAAAATCTAGTGAATGGGGTACGCCAATAGTAGCAATCTTGAAGAACAGTAATGCAATACGAATTTGTGGAGATTACAAAGTCACTTTAAATCCAAATTTAATTGTTGATAAATATCCGATACCAAGAGTCCAAGATTTGTTGTCAACTTTAAATGGTGGTATTTTGTTCAGTAAAATAGATTTGGCACATGCATATCAGCAAGTGGAATTAGATAGGAAATCACAATTGTTGACGACAATTTCGACCCACAGAGGGCTATTTGCATACAAACGTTTATGTTTTGGAGTTGCATCTGCACCTGGATTATTCCAGAGACGTATGGAACAAATTCTTTCAGGGATCGATGGGGTAGTATCATTTTTTGATGATATTCTTATATCTGGCGCTACTAAAGAAGAACATGATGATAGATTGCGTAAAGTTTTGATAAGATTGAGAGATGCAGGTCTGACGGCAAGGAAGGAAAAGTGTGAATTTAGGAAAGATAATGTTAAATTTCTTGGTTTTACAATTGATAAGAATGGCATTCATGTACTGAAAGAGAAGGTGGACATAATTTGTAAAGCACCAGTTCCTCAAAATGCCACTGAATTGAAAAGATTTCTGGGGATGCCGAATAATTATTCACGGTTCATTAAAAATTATTCTAAAATTGCTAGTCCACTATATCAGTTGTTAACGAAAGATGTTAAGTGGATGTGGTCTAAAGATTGTAATGAAGCTTTTGTTAAAATCAGAGATGAACTGGTTTCGAGTGATGTTTTAATACATTACGATCCTGAATCACCAGTTAAAGTCACATGTGACGCTTCACCAGTTGGTATTGGTGCTGTTTTGTCACACGTAATTGATGGTTATGATAAACCAATTGCATATGGTTCAAGGGCTTTGTCAAAAGCTGAAAAAAATTACTCACAACTTGATAAAGAAGTTTTATCATGAATTTTCGGTGTTAAAAGTTTTCATCAGTATATTTATGGACGTCAATTTATTCTAGAAACGAACCACAAACCACTCATTTTTATTTTTGGAGAAAAGAAAGGGCTGGCAGCGATGGCAGCTAGTAGAGTCCAAAGATATGCAGTTTTTCTTGCTGCTTATAATTTTTGTATTAAATATATCAAAGGTGAAAATAATGTTAGTGCTGATTATCTCTCAAGAGCTTTTCAATTGAGTGAGGAGGAAATGGATAGTTTGGAAAAGAATGAGTATGGATATTTGAATTTTATTGAGGAGGAAATTGTCATGTTTGATAGTGATTTAGTCAAAAGCGAAAGTGATAAGGACCCTGTGATAAAAAAAGTAATGGAGTATGTATTAAATGGTTGGCCAAGTGATAACAGGACTGATTTGGTAGTTTGCGAATGCAGGAAATTGGAGCTTCATGTGGAAAAAGATTGTCTGATGTGGGGTCATCGAGTAGTGGTGCCAACGTCGTTGAGAGCAATGATTTTAAAGGAGTTACATTCATCTCATATGGGAATTGTGAAAATGAAGGCTTTGGCCAGATCGTATGTATGGTGGCCAGATATTGATAGTGACATTGAACAAATTCCAAAATCATGTTTATTGTGTCTGGAGAGTGGAAGTAAACCACCTAGAAATCCTTTGACAGTGTGGAAGTGGCCAGAAGGTCCACAGTTTAAGGTACATGCTGATTTTGCTGGACCACTCAATGGAAAAATGTTTATAGTAATTGTTGATGCATATTCCAAGTGGATTGATGTGCGTGAAATGGTTAATATAACGTCAGAGAGTACAATTGACATTTTCGAAGATTATTTTACAACCTGGGGTATTCCTGTGGTTCTGGTGACAGACAATGGTTCTAGTTTCACATCGAAGGAATTCGAGGACTTTACAAAATATTATGGAGTTGAGCACATTCGAACACCTCCATACCATCCTGCGTCGAATGGTGCTGCAGAGAACATTGTAAAGACTTTCAAGAATAAATTGAAAATCTTGATGAAATCTGGGAAATCAGCAAAGACAGCATTGAGAATATTTTTGATGAACTATCGAGCTACACCTCATTGTACAACTGGATACACACCAGCAGAATCACAGACTGGTAGAAAAATGAGGATTAAGTTGGATTTCCTTCGCCTAAATCTGCGTCATCGAATAGTCAAACAACAAGTTAAACAACAATTCTATACATCTGGTAGTCATGAAAGGAGTTTTGAACTGGGACAACAGGTCATGGCAGCAAATCATACTGGTGAAAAATTCCTATTAACTAAGATAGAAGAAAAGTTATCTCCAGTCGTTTATATGGTGAGAACGTTGGATAATCGTTTCTGGAAGAGACATGCAGATCAACTGAAGGCATGTTCAGTACACTATGAGGACAAAATTACACCAATCCAAAGTGAGAGAAATTCAGAGGCAACCCCTGAAGATCTTGAGTCACCTGAGAACCTGGTTACAACACCAGATCCTGAGATTGCAGTGGAAACACCAGCTGTCATATTACCTGAAAACAGTTCTGTCACCCCTAGCACTTTGCACTCAGGCAATCCAACGGTTAGCCCACAACTACGTCGATCAACTCGTGTACGTCGAGCTCCAGAAAGATTAAATTTGTGAAGAATGATTGTTTTAGGAGTTGTACTTTTATATTAATGCTAACTATGGTTTATGACTAATCTATATATATTATATATATTATGGAATGAGGTTTGAGTGTGAAATGTGTGTACTTTGGAAGTTTAAATGACTTTAACATATATGTAATATCATATATTGTTTTAAGTTTTTGATTTATGAGTAGATTCTTACAGATGTAAGAGGGAGGAGTTTGTGATGTATGGGCGAACCTTCATGACAGATTACAATGAAGATCCGCCATAATGATTATGGATGTGACGTAGGTATCATTTCCCATCCCCATCCTCCTTCCATTGTAACCCATTGAACGAGACACATATCGTATTTATTCTATCAATAATAAATCTACGAACATCGTTATTGATTATTAATATTTACTTGTTTATTTCATTATATTTGAAAACCCCAGATATAACAGTGTTGAAAAGCTTCGAATATTGTGACATTATTGAAGTTTAGAAGCAATTTCCGATCCTCCCTTCAATCATGACATAGTCAACTAGTTGGACATGAAAAATCGCTGTTTCTATGGAATTACTCATATTATATTCCTAGGACCGATAAACCGTGAATTCTAACGTCACTAATTTAATGCCTAAAGGAGGTTAGGCGGTGTTTGAGGTGAATTGGAGAGTGAATTTCTGTGGTTCCCGGTAGCTTAGTCGGTAAGAGTGCCCGGCGCGTATCTGGGAGACCCGGGTTCGATTCCCGGCTGGGTGAAGCGGAAATT